AAAACCCTTATAATTTCCTAAGTGATAAGAGCAGTGGAGGCCTCTTTTGTTCTCAGATGTGGTCTTTGACCCTGCTTCCTGACACAGAGCTCCTAAATCCCTTGGAATTTTCTAGGTGGCAGGAGTGTCTTTTGTTCTAATGAGGCAACTCTTGATCTGCTCCTGAATTGCTTCTGGATGGGGCTGGTCACTAGACAGACTGAGGGTAATTAGAAGCTTGGAACTTTCAGCCCCACCCCCTATCCTCTGGGAAGGAGGGGGGCTGGAGATTAAGTTGATGACTGATCATGCTTATGTGATAAAACCTCCATAAAAATCCTAAAAGTCTAGGGTTCAGAGAACAACTGGGTTGGTAAACACATCCATATGCCATAAGGATGGTGCACCCCAGCTCAGCTTCTGTGCTCAGGACTCTTCCAGACATTGCCCTATGTATCTCTTCATCTGGCTGTTCGTATGTATCCTTTACTATATAATAAACTGTCAAACATAAGTGTTGCTATGAGTTCTGTGAGCTGATCTAGCAAATGATGGAACCCAAGGAGGGGGTTGTGGGAACCTTTGATTTGTAGCCCAGTCGGACAGAAGTTGTAGGTAACCTGGAACATGTAGGTATTAACTTGCAACTGGTGTCAGACTTGGGGCAGTGTTATGGGTCTGAGCTCTTAAGGGGTTTGGCCAACTCTAGTTAGCATCAGAATTAAAGTGAACTGTGGACATCCATCTGGTGTCAGAAGTGTTGTGAGTATGTAGTAGTATGTGAGTAAAAGAGAACCACAGGAGTGTTTTCCTACACATGTCTTATGGGATGACCTCTGATCAGGAAGAAACATGATGAGGAAGGAGTAAGCAGACATATCCTCTCTCTTCCTCCCCCTACCAGTGTTCCCTGCTCAAGTGCATATGGGGATGTGGGGAGTGTTGCCTTAGATCAAATAGTGTCATTACTGCAGGGCTTCTGTCACCTTCGATACATCCCCCCTCCTGCCACTGTGAGGAGTGTGGTCCATCCATGACAACAGTTAGCTGGGTTTTCTTGTGAAGCTGTGACCAGGTTAGTAATACACTGCCTTTTGTTTGCTTTCCCTCCTCTCTGCCTCACTGCCCCTTATTCTTGCTGCTTTGGGGTTTTGCCTCCCAGAAAGAGTATCTGCAGCTAAGCTTTGCCTTGGGTTCTTTCTTAGAAGACCTGGGCAAAGGATTATTGCAGCAGCCTTTTTACTGGTCTCCTTGCTTCTGCTCTGTCTCCTCTAGTTTATTTTGACTCCTCTGGTGTCAACATGATGCTTTAGAAATGTATTAGGTAAGTCCTTCCTCTGATTAAAACTTCTGAGAGGTTTCTCATATCACTCAGTGAAAGCTTAAGTCTTCCAGCCCCAGTCCTCATTGGGCCAGAGCCAGCCCCTTTCCCTCTCCGAGCACATTTCTTGTGCTGTCTTCTTACTTTCTTCATTCCAGGCTTGCTGGCTGTCTTAGTAAGTTTGTGCTGCTGTAACAGAATACCATAGACTGGGGGGCTTATAAACCACAGACATTTATTTCTCACAGTTCTGGAGGCTGGAAAGTTCGAGATCACGATGGCAGTGTGGTTGAATTCTGGTGAGGGCCCTGTTCCAGGTTTCAGAGTGCTGACTTCGCCTTTGTCTTCACATAGCTGAGAGCAGAGAGAGGAGGTAAGCTCTCTCATGACTCTTAGAAGGGCACTCATCCTATTCATCAGGACTCCATCTTCATGACTTCATCTGATTCTAATCCCAGTTACCTCCCAAAGGCCCCGTCTCCCAGTGCATTGGGAGGTAGAATTTCAACATAAGAATTTTGGGGGGCACATTCAGTCTATAATACCAGTCTCCTTGTTGTTCCTCCTACAAAATAAACTTGCTCCCATCTCTGGGCCTTTGCAGTGTCTTTTCCTTCTGTTCTAGAAAGTTCTTCCAGATACCTGCCTGCTCCTTCATTTCCTTCAGGTTTTTGCTACTGAGACATTCTCTAAACAACCTATACAAAAATAGAACCAATCCCTTCTCCTACACTATCTGGCTTACTCTGTTTTGGTTTTTTCTCACAATACTTTTCCTCGTTAGACATAATATGTACTTATTTATCATTTCTCTCCCCCCTGCCCCACCCCACTAGGATATAAGTTCCATAATAAGATAGACTTTGTCTAGAACATTGCGTATACATACTTTTTGGATGAATGTACAAGTGAATAAATGAACTAGAGTCATTTTTGCTATGAAATATGTATAGCTTGAAGTAGATACCATTGTACTGTGATAAGTTTAACTTAGTTATTAAGTCTGAATCACAAAGATCATTTTTCTTTGGGGGGATGAGCTAAGTCAGCGTTTCCCGAAGTGTGGTCCATTGGTAGTGTTTTGAAGGATGTTAATAGGTATCATGTAAGAGATAAACATGTATGTATGTGCGTGTATGTGTCCATGTCCGTGTGTGTATGTGTGTTGGAGAGTGGCTAAATAAGTAGAATCATGAAAGGTTTTTGTATGTGTGATTATATGTGACATTTTAATAGATAACATTTTTTTTTGTACTACATGATAAAATGTGAAATTTTCTCAAAATAATCAAGTGTATTGGGAATAAGTTGGTTTTAACTCTGTAGAATTTTAATCATATGTTAAAATGGGCTATGGTGAAAATAATGAAGTTCAAGTGTTTTATTTTTTACTCTTTTATTCCTCTCAAGAAATATTACCTCTTTGTGTGGAAAATTGAAAAGAGGTTGATACATGATAGCGAATCTGTAAGTAATTACAGAAGGATTATTATCATAAAATAGGGAGATGAAGGTTGCATGTAGAATTTGGTATTTGTTGGTGTCTAGAGCCTTTTTAGGAATTCTTTTAGCCTCTTGCTTTGCCCATGGAAGATTATCAGGAATATTCCCTAAAAAGTGCTTTTCAAAAATAGTGCCAATCAGCTCTCACCCTGCCTAAAAGCAAAAAAAATGCATCTCAGTTTTGGAAAATAGGTAGAATGTAGTGGAGATTTTAAAAAATACTATAAATACCATTACTTTACCTGGACCAATAGTTGCTTTTACTGTTATCCACTAAATCTTTTCATTCTAGGACTTTAAATCACCACAAACTGAGCAAAAACCCTTGGACTAAAGTAAAACAGCTCCATCAGAAAGTTAGTCATAGTAGCTCTTTAGCATCCATTAGTTTTTGTTCAAACACAGTAGTGAACTTAATAATCCCTTAGTACTTAATGAGTGAGACTTAATTTAAGAAACAAGTACCTGGGGCGCCTGGGTGGCTCAGTCGGTTAAGCGACTGCCTTCGGCTCAGGTCATGATCCTGGAGACCCGGGATCGAGTCCCGCATCGGGCTCCCTGCTCGGCAGGGAGTCTGCTTCTCCCTCTGACCCTCCTCCCTCTCATGCTCTCTGTCTCTCATTCTCTCTCTCTCAAATAAATAAATAAAATCTTTAAAAAAAAGAAAGAAACAAGTACCTGAGTCTTTTAGTATATACACGACCCTTATAGGCTTTGGCACATTCCTTAATTATAGGAGACTTTTGGTCCACGAAGAACCCATAATATGAAGGATTTATAGTTGGACAATCTAGTTAGGCTTTGAACTTTCATAGATCAAATTAGAGATACTAAGTAAGTAGTTTTGCCTTGCTTACATTTTTCCTGAAAACCCTGAGATTTACATGATAATAAAGTACCAGAGTAATTTCTCTGCTTCTTCAGAAGGCATTTTATTTCTGTGGCTTCAGTTTACTCTTGTGGTTATTGTTGCTGGGTCAATTGTTTAAATTATATTCTTTGACTGTTTAGACTTAATGGCAGTCTTTATTGATTTGACGTAATACTGACCATTTATCTGTACCTTGCTCTCCATCCAGTGAGGTTTCTCTCAGTTAATTTTGAAATGTCAGAATGTTGGTGACCATGGCTTGGGGGGAAAGATGTGAATCTATCATTTTTCTAGATTGTTTTGTGGGTTGGCACTTTTAGGATTTGGCAAGGGAAACATACATAAAATCTAGAGTTCTGCTTCTGTGAAGAGATTGTCTTTTACATTTCTCCTGTGATTGTAAAAATCAAAGGGCTTTTGATTCCATTATTTAAAAGAAAATCAAAAACAAAGCCCAAATATATATACATATGCCTTATAGACATATTTGTCTTCAATACAATATATTCGTTTTTCCCAAACAAGTTATACTTCGAAAAGAGTCTATAGCCTATATTTTAATTTTCATGAAGGATCTTCATAGTCCTCAATTTACTATATTTTGAACAGCAAAGTAGTAAAATGTTGCTTAGATAAGTTATGTTAGCCTGAAAGAAGGTAATACATGTTGGGTGCTTATTAAGGTCACTTGAAGGAATTGATGAAAAATCATAACAGATGAATTTAAAAATTTAGAAATAATTTTTAGAGGGATGACCTTGCAGTTACAGGGGTTAGATATCATTGTAAACAAACCTTCTGGAAATTACAGAGTAATACTGAAGGGGGTTACTTTGTGGAGATCACAAATAGTTAATGGGCATTTGTGGTTGGTATAATGTTTCCAGTGATACCATCATTCGCAAACTCAAAAAGTGCTAAAGTAACTTTGACTGAAGGGAAGTTGATGGGATCTTGAAAACTGTGTTAGATGACTTAAAAGGTGACTATTGATTATAAAAACTCTGATTTCAAAGATGCATGTGAGAAAGTCGGATAAAGTTATACCATGAAATTTGAGTGGAAAAAGCGGTATTTCTAGATGGACATAGTAAGATAGTGCTATTTAAAATATATTTGTATAACTAAGTTAAGAAAGTATATAATATACATTTAAATATTTCAGCTATACCTTTTCATCATCTATATAATGAAAATGACCATGCATCTAATTTTGGATATTCTCCTGCAGAGAATGGGTATTAATTTTCATTCTAGTTGTCTTATATTTGTCAAATATACAATGTATATTTACATATACATTGTATATATACAGAATGTGTGTGTATTGTGTATAATATATATGAGTTTGGACATAGGAAAAGGCCAGCAAGGATGCACATTGTCCTGTTATCAGTGTTAGCTCCTGCAGAAGGAGTAGGGATAGCGAGCTCCTTGCTATCCTTAAACACATCAAGAACATTCCTGCTTCAGTGCCATTGCATTTGCTGTTTCCTCTGTCTGGAATGCTGTCCCCCATATAGACACAAGACTAGTCCGTTGTCTTTATTCAAATGTCACCTTCTCAGGGCTTCCCTGGCCACTATCAAAAATTACTGTTTCTACTTTGCCTTCCTATCCTCCTTCCTGATTTATTCTTCCCCTCAGCACTTATTACTGCCTACCATATTAAATATTTTACTTGTTTATGTTTTTTTTAAGATTTAGTTATTTTAGAGAGAGAGAGAAAGTGAGCGGGGGCAGGGGCAGAAGGAGAAGGAGAGATTCCTCAAGCCGACTCCCCATGGAGCCTGATGTGGGGCTTGATCTCACGACCCTGAGATCATGACCTGAGCTGAAATCAAGAGTCTGCCACTTAACCGAATGAGCCACCCAGACGCCGCTTGTTTATGTTTTAAAATGACTGCCTCCCCTTCTAAAATGTAAGCTCCATGAGGGTAGGGATATTTTTGTTTGTTTGTTTCATTCTGTTTTGTTCACTGTTATACCCTTGGCACCTAGAATGGTACTTGTTGCATCGTAGATGCTCAGTATTTGTTGAATGAGTGAATAAGTTCTAGAGCATGAACATTTTAAAGACTGATGATATTGTGAAGTTACTTTTTATTTTTATTTCTTTAAAGATTTATTTACTTGAGAGAGTGAGAGAGAACACAAGGTGGAGGGGCAGAGGCAGAGGGAGAGAGAATCTTAAGCAGATTCCACACCGAGTGTAGAGCCCGATGGGGGGCTTGATTTCACGACCCTGAGATCATGACCTGAGCCAAAATCAAGAGTTGGATTCTTAACTGACTGTACCACCCAGGCACCCCTCAAGTTACTTTTTAAAAGGATATACCAATTTATATCCAGTAATGTTTTTGTGACCATAAATATACCAATATAATATTTAAAACTATATAGTTAACCATGTGAAATTGTTATTTTAATTTTATCACTAGTGAAGCTGAATATTTAAAAATATTTTTACACTTATTCTTTTTATTTTTAACTATATATTTGTTTAAAAATTAGGAAATGCTTTATCATCTCACCTGATTAATAGAGTAATGTTGCAATTTTAAGCTGTCCCCCGTCCATCCAATCCAACAGCATGATTGCGCACATTAATCATCAAGACATTTATAGTGAATTTGTCAAGATTTATCTCTCACTGCATTAAGAAAGGGGACCATTTGGACTTGGGAACCATAACTCTCCTGGAATCCGAGAAGTCCCAAGGGCGGAAAACATTAGGAAATACTGAAAACATACTCGGTTATTCGTTCAGCACATAATTTTTGCATGGTTTCTGTGTCAGTTACTTTGCTGCACAATGGGGATACAGCAGTAACAAGACAGCTATATTCTTTTCCTTGAGATTATAGTTTACTGGGAAATACTTATGCTACACAAATGAAGAAGAAAATTTCAAAATAAAAATTATACATGCTGTTCATGCAGGGATAAACACTGTTGAGAATTTGTATTATATCTTTCAATCTTTATTTGACAGGTGTTCATTAACATTAAAATAAACTATAGCTTTCTTTTTTCACTGAGAATATTTTGAAGTTTGCCTTGTTATTAAATATATTTTTAAACTTGGTTTTTAATCGTTGTGTGATATTCCATTTTATGGAAGTTCCACTTGTTCAAAGCAATCAACTATTTTAGGATATTTATGTTGCTTATGGTTTCTCACTATTATAAATAAAATAGCATTTATCCTTCATATAAATCTTTTCTTCACATCTCTGTTATTGCCTTATATATTGGTTTCCTATTGCTGCTATAACACATTACCACAAACTTAATGGCTTAAAGTAACACAAATTTATTATCTTATAACGCTGGAGATCAGAAGTCTTAAAATCAAGGTTTTGCCTGAGGTATTTCCTTCTGGAAGCTGAAGGGGACAGTGCGTTTCTTTGCCTTTTCCAGCTTCCAGAGGTCACCTGCGTTTCTTGGCTTGTGACTTCTTCCTCCGTCTTCAAAGCTGGAAGTGCAGCATCTTCCAGTCTTTCTCTCTGACCTCTGCTTCTTTCATCCCTTCTCCTTCTCTGACTCTAACCCTCCTCCATCCTTCTTGTGATCACACTGGGCCTTACCTGCATAACCTAGGATAATCCCCTCTTTTTAAGATCTTTAGTCATATCTGTTGCCAGGTAAGGTAACGTTGTCACAGGTTTCATGGATTAGGATGGGGACAATTTTTTGTGGGGGCGGGGGGAGCTCACTGTTCTGCCTTCCACACCTTAGGATACGTGCCGAAGTATAAAATTGCTAAGTCCAAGCAGTTTTGAAGGCTTTAGATGCATACTGCCAAACTGCTCTCTCAAACACTGAATCCTCCATTGATACACCTGCAGTGAGGGTTCCTGTCACACCGGTCCTTTCTAGCATTTGCTATTCTTAGTTTAAAAAGTCTTTGGACTTGTGATAATAATCATAGCAAAAATTTATTGAGTAATTAGTATATGGCCAGCACAAATGTAAACTTTATAGGTATTAGCTAATTTAATCCTCAGAAAACCTTATGACATAGGTACTTTATTATCTCTATTCTCTTACTTTTACAGATAAAGACACTGAGGCTTAATGAAGTCAGGTGACTTGCCTAAGTCACACAGCTGGAAATCGTGGAGCGAAACTTCAAACGCAGGCAGAGAAAGACCTAGATAGCTAGATATCCATATCCTAAATCTTTCTGAGGACCTGTGAATATACACACACACACACACACACATACTGAATAAAGAATCTCTGTAGGGTGTGTCTATGATAGGCTTGATTAAAAAAAACAGTGATAGCTAGTATGTGTTGAATACCATGTGGCTTAATGGAAGAAGGTTTGCAGAGAAATATATAATCGGGAGGAGACTCAGAAAAAGAAAATGAGGAATGAAATAATTGAAGTGCTTTTTCCTCTAAGGTCTTAGGACAGACTTTACTTTCTGGTTCAGTTCAAAATTGTAAACTTAATTCTTTTTTATTTTTTTAAAATATTTTATTTATTTGAAAGAAAGAGTGAGAGAGAGAGAGAGCATGAGGAGGGGAAGGGGCAGAGGGGGAAGGAGAAGCAGACTCCCAGCTGAGCAGGGAGCCTGATGTGGGGCCCAACCCCGGGATTATGACCTGAGCCACAAGCAGGCAGACATTTAACTGACTGAGCCACCCAGGTGCCCCTAAACTTAATTCTTTTAGAGGTGCCTGTAGCAGAAATTCAGGATAGGGTTTAAAACTTTATGAAGTCAATAATGATGAAAATAATAAGCTTTAAAGAAGGTTTACCATATATAAAGCAAAGAGGGACTCAGAATGGCAGGACAAATTTAGAGAGGAGTTTTTAGTTTAATTTTTGGGATCTTTATGTTTGATAACATAATTCTATTTTTACAAGTCTTTTTTCATTCATAGTGATTAGATACATAGTACTAATGCTTATATCATTTCTTCATTGACTTCCATGAGTATATCAGAAATGATCGTCTTTAAAAAAATGATCATCTTTTAAATTATAAGAAAATATCAACAAAGAATGTTTTGATATATTTATAGTGATGAACCATTCATAGATGTTCGTTCATTCAAAGCAAATTTACGTAAAACAAAGTCTTTGCTGCTTAAACCTGTAATAGGCTGGATCACATGTGTTTATATTGCTTATTTCTTAAACCATTTAAATAAATGTTTTTAATCACCGGTAATGCCTTTAAGAGATTAAGAGGAAGGCCTTAAATGTCATGGGAAAAATGGAGAAGACAGATTTATATCCTTTGAATTCTAAGTATGTAAATAGGTAGCTTTCAACTCATTACATTTTTGGCCATAGGCCATATTTGTTGAGCTCTAAAGAACTATAGCAATTTAATTCTTGTTTTTTATTCTCTTGACTGTTATTGAGTTGGTGGGATAAAATACGCATTGAGTTATAACTGTTTACTGGTGTTTGTATGTGTGTGTGTGTGTGTGTGTGTGGTTTTACAGTTTAATGAGCATGTTTTGAGAATGTATCCAAACCTTTCTTATCTGTCCTTGATACTTTCCCTTTGTGATTTCTCAGGGTCACAACCAAGAGAAATATTGAATTCTTTTGTTCCAAGATAAAAATAATTTTATGTGTGTTTGCTTTTCACTGATTTTAAAAGCATTCCATTCTTGGGGCGCCTGGGTGGCTCAGTCATTAAGCGTCTGCCTTCGGCTCGGGTCATGATCCCAGGGTCCTGGGATCGACCCCAAATCAGGCTCCCTGCTTGGCGGGATGCCTGCTTCTCCCTCTCCCTCTGCCCCTGCTTGTGTTCCCTCTCTCACTGTGTCTCTCTCTGCCAAAAAATAAATAAATAAATAAAATCTTAAAAAAAAAAAAGCATTCCATTCTTATTGTCAAGAAAAAGACCAAGTAATCAAAAAAGTTTAAAGAAAGAAAAAAAATTACTTCTAAATTCCCTCTACCACCAAGAGATAGCCCGTCAAATTTGCTGTTTTTTTTTTTTTTTTCCTTAATATGGGTACATACACATACACTATACAAAACTTGGATTATTATATTATATACCGAACAAGATAGTTAGTGACTTTTTTTGTGTGTGTGCTTAAAAAATCTGTATCACTCCACATCAGTATATATGGGTATCATTTTTAATATGACAGTCTTACACTTACATCGTCCAAATATCTCCTTAGCATAAATTGTCACAAGCGGAATAGCTAGGATGAATGATAGAGGAGTTGAATCTGTGTACACTAGAGCCAACATGAAGAAGGGCACATTTTTTCAAACTCTTGCTCGTACTAGACAGTGTTCATCTTATAAAAGCTTTCCTAGTCTGATAAGTAAAACTGATTAATGTGGATTTCTGTCATTATTGGTGAGGTGCAGCATCATTTTATGTTAATTGATCATATGAAATTCTTTATTTTGAATTGCCTGTCACTGAAATTTCTATTTTGACCATTTTTACTTTTAGAACTTGAATTTTTAAAAAATTAATAAGACCGTTCAACTGAAAATACTATATGCTCCTTAAAAGACATTGGGGATACAGCTTACAGAAGGCTGTCTGCATGTTTGTTGTATTTAGAATACATGTATAGGATAAAGTAATTAGGTAGACCTGTAACGAAGTCCTTGCCTCCCAAGTTGGGACTCCTGCAAATATTGCCTCAATTTAGGACACTTGGGGAGTGTTTGATCAAGAGAAGTGTTTTTTTTTGTAGCTATGTAGTGAATTAATTTCTTATTCACAAGGCTTTTGATGTTCATGTTGTTTTGCTTGCCAAGTTGGAATTTGAAATGCATTTCCTCTTAGTGACAAGTGATATTTAAGTGTGTGTTCTCTTAAATGCCTATGAGAACTGTTATTTCCAAGTTACAGAAAACAATCCAAACTGGTTTACATAAAAGTTGTAAATACTCATGTAATGACTAAGATCAAATATA